GGGGCGTGGCAGCGCTCCTGCTGAGGGTTCGGATCCCATATAGAGACCGGTCCGCTCACTGGTTGAGTGCGGTACGGGCGCGACACCGAGGGTTGCAATCCCGTTACCGGTCATGAAAAAAAAAAAGAAAAAAAGAAAGTTTGGGTGTAGTGAGGGCCGGCCCGGTGGCGCACTCGGTAGAGTGCGGGGCGTGGCAGCGCTCCTGCTGAGGGTTCGGATCCCATATAGAGACCGGTCCGCTCACTGGTTGAGTGCGGTACGGGCGCGACACCGAGGGTTGCAATCCCGTTACCGGTCATGAAAAAAAAAAAGAAAAAAAGAAAGTTTGGGTGTAGTGTCTGGTTAATAGTAATCAATAACTAATAGCATTAAAAATAGTAATTAAAATGAAATATGCCACCATTGAGTCAAAATTTTAGTAAGTGTAAGAGAAAATGAGAGCTTAGTATTCTTTTTTATCCCTGTTAGTATAAAGGTTCATCTGGTAAAACAGTATTTTAGCAATAGGGAAAGAGTTAACTGAAAAGTGAATCCTGATGAGTAGTAATAATAACCAAGAGTTGAGTGCTTAATAGGTGACAGACACTCGCATTTAATCCTCGGAACAGTCCTGTCAAGTAAGCCACTCCTCCTCTGGGAAGCCTGCGTTTGTTCAAAGTGAGGGCGACCACCCTGTCCTTTCACTCTTCCACTCATATCTCCCACCCTCTCCCCACTTCTTATCCCAGTGAGGGATTTTCTGTGTAGTTGACACAGAAGTGACCCACAGCAAGTTTAATTGTTGAGGTGTTGAATCCTTGTATTTTTCTGGTCAAGAGTGAAATCTGTCTCTTTTATGTTATAGTTGATAATTTAAGCATTAACAAACAATGGTGGTCTGAGGTAAAAATACTAAGAGGTGGATAAAGAAACTACTCAGTCAACCTGAGCTCCCCATCCCCCCACCTCCCCACGCACGTACTGTTTAAGACAAATATAGTAGTTTAAAGTAGCCCTTGCTTTATAAATTATCATAGAGTAAATATAATGAATTTCAGGGTTAGCCAGTGAGCTTGCTTGGTTGGAGCGTGGTACTGATAACACCAAGGTCCAGGGTTCGAACTCTGTATCGGCCAGCCACAAAAAAAAATAAAATAAATAATGAATTTCAAAGATATGTCCAAATTCTGTGTTTGTAAGTACTTTTATTGTAATGGTTATTATTCAAGACTGAAATTATTTAATACAAGGAAGCATTCTTTTTTTTTTTTTTTTCTTTTTTGTCTTTTTTCGTGTCCGGCAACGGATCGCAACCCTCAGTGTCGCGCCCGTACCGGACCAGGACCGGCCACGGGATCGCAACCCTCAGCGTCGCACCCGCACCCCGCTCAGCCAGTGAGCAGGAACCGGTCTGTATGTGGGATCCGAACCCTCGGCGGGAGCGCCGCCATGCTCCCAAGCAGCGCACTGTAGCAGTGCGCCACCGGGCCGGCCCAGAAGCATTCTTTATTCACACTGAGCAACTGTCTTCCAGAATACAGGCCACAATACAAGCATTCTTATTTGAATAACAGGGAAGAATATCAAATTATTTTGTAGGTTTTTTGGTCATATCAAACATTTTGACAGAAGTGCATTTCTGATTATAAATTTTTAGCATTGGAAGGAACCTAAGATATCCAGTCCAACTCCTTCCTTCCACCCAGAAAGATGAAGCAATTTATGTAAAGTCATGTAGCTAGTGACAGCTAGGGAGAGACTGAGTCCTTATCCATTATGCCAAAGTGCTACATTCCTCCGGAAAAAACTGCCTACTTAGGCTTGGTTTTTAATGCTAGTTAGAGTCTTGGGATAAGGTTTTTTTCCATGACTGACTAGTGCTCTTTTGTTTTCTTATGTAGGTGTCTGAGAACAAGCTATCTGGGTTTTTTGTTGTAATGATCGAACTGCGTTAGGCACTCACAAGGCATTTGTCTAGTTAACACTTTAGGGATTAGGAAGAGGTGGTTGTAGCTCAAATTCTCTGCCCTCATTGTTGATAGGCAGATATTTTAAAGCTGAATTTCTCAACCCGGGGTCTAAATATCCTAATTTTTATTGAAAATTATGGGAATATATGCTTATGTCCTAAGAAGAATCTGCAGCATTCATCAGGTTATCAAATGATACATAGTTTAAAACTACAGATGGCCCCATAGTTGGACTTAGTGATTTTTCCACTTTACAATGTGAAAATGATATGCTTTCAGTAGAAACTGTACTTTGGGTACCCAACCAGTCTGTTTTTCACTTTCAGTATTCAATAAGTAACGTGAAATATTGAACTCTTTATTATAAAATAGGCTTTGTGTTAGATGATTTTGCCCAACTGTAAAGTGTTCTGAGCATGTTTAAGGTAGACTAGGTTAAGCTATGATGTTTGGTAGGTTAGGTATACTAAGTGCCTTTTCTTTTCTTTTCTTTTTTTTAAGTGGCTGGTTGGTACAGGCATACAAACCCTTGATCTAGGTGTTATTGGCACCATGCTCTAGCCAAGTGAACTAACCAGCCAGTCCCAAATGCATTTTCTTTTTTGTTATTTTTTATTTGTTTTGGCGGCTCATTGGTAAATGCAATTTTGACTTATGATATTTTCAACTTAGGACGGGTTTATTGGGATGTAACCACCTTAAGTTGAGGAGCATCTGCATTATTTCAGAGGAAGGGAGAACTAAGCCTGATTGCATTCTAAATGTTTAGTATACTGGAGGGCTCCCTTATCTCCAGCCCCCTCCTGCTAGTGCCCTTTCCTACTGACAGGCCTTCTCCAGACAGCTTCCTGGATCTTGTCATGGAAGCCACTGGAGGCCTTAACTATGTTGTTACCTTCCCATGGGTTTCCCAGGGCTACCTTCTCTCCCTCCTCTGCTTACTGTTCCTAGGAGAGTGTGAGACTCAGGGATTTTTGTTCATTAGAAAGCGCAGGAGTGTTATTTCAGTTACATTTTGATTAAAAGGGATTTGTGAAGTGACCTGAGAACCTAAGACAATTGCAATAAGAAAAAAATGCAATTGGAATTCCAATCAATACTTTGCAAATTAACTTTTAGAATGCCTCTAGTTCTTTATAGTTAAAGAATCTCTGTGTTTGATCTAGAAACTCTAACATTTTCCAGGAACAGAATGAAAATCCATGGATTTTCATGGATTGTGTAGGAGTTGCTCAGATCTGTCTATAAAAATTGAATTTTTCCTTCCTGAGTTTTATTTGACTTAGAAGAATTTACCCCTGAATAGGAATTCATTTTGATGGGCTTCCTTCCTACAAGAGAACATATAGAAAGCATGTTCTAAATTTTTTTTAAGTCTAGCATCTGGACACCAAAGAAAAAGCTAGTGCTAAGATTGAAGTTGGGAGAGTTTATTTGTTTATTCATTTTAAAAAGTCTTTACTGAGGACAGATCACTAGCCCTCAGGCATCATGTTAGATGCTGGGAAATGAGACTAGTTTCTTCCATTGTGAAGCTTACAATCTGCTGGGGACACAGAGTAAGAAGAACAATTCAGCATGCTAATAGAGGTACAGGAAAAGCGTTGAACTCAGTACTCTGCCTGGCCAGTGTTGGCTGAGGGTGACAGATACTTGAGTTGTATCTTAAAAGTTCAGTAGAAACTTTTTTGGCAAAGAAGGGATCAAGGTATAAATGGTGTATCTGTGCCTTTCTAATTCTAACTAAACATTTACCACTCTGTCTTATTTTATATTTTCAATTAGAGCTCCAAACGAGAATGGAAGCCTCTGGAAGACCGTAGCTGCACAGACATACCATGGCTGCTGCTCTTTGTCCTCTTCTGCATTGGGATGGTAAGGAAACTCACAGATAATCTGAACCTGAACTCATGATCCACGGGAATGGTGGGGGGTTGGTTTAAAGAGGGAGCTCGTTTTATGTATATGTGTACATTCGTGTGTGTGTGTGTGTGTGTGTGTACGTATTTTACCCCTCCTATATTGCTTGTAATTGGAGGGCTTTAGATACCATTGTGGCAGGTTATTTTCCCCTCATGACATTCAGTGGTATTTGGTATCCCCTGATTTTTTTTTTTTTTTCCTACATAAAAACTGAGATTAAAATTAAGGAGCAACAGGAACTCATCTCATTCACTAGATCATTTCACAAAGTCAGATCATTTGACATAAGTTTCTGCAAATGGTGATCTTGATGTGGTAGTGATTAGAACACTGGAATCAAAAGTCCTGAGTAGTGGGCCGGCCTGGTGGCGCACTGCTACAGTGCGCTGCTTAAGCGCGGCGGCGCTCCCACTGAGGGTTCGGATCCCACATACAGACCGGTTCCCGCTCACTGGCTGAGCAAGGTGCGGGCGCGGCACCGAGGTTTGCGATCCTGTTGCCGGTCCCAGTCCAGTACGGGCGTGACACTGAGGGTTGCGATCCGTTGCCGGACACGAAAAAAGACAAAAAGGAAAAAAAAAAAAAAAAAAAAAAGCCCGG